CCTCAGGAATTAAAGCAACTTGCTTCGCATCGCATAGTTCAGAACAACTTTCAAAACATTTCCTTAGCTAAAACTCATTACTGAAAGGTACCTGAAACGAAAATTCTCAGTGAAGCATTTCATTTTAAGATAAAATAAACAAAACTGCATACCTGTGTGGGTAACATGTTCAGAATTACAAATTTTCCAGATAACCTCCATACGTCCTTCGGTGAGAACAAAGGCGTTTTTGTTTTTCGTTTCTCTTTCTAAAACAACATATTTAGCTTATAAATTTTTGTTTATAAATTCAACTCACGGTTGACTCGAGACAAGGTTGACTCGAACTACCGGCTTCATTGCGAATAAGATATTTTAGTTTTCATACGGAGTGACTGTCACTCGACCTCTGACATCATGTCGAGACCGGCTAGACATGAATTAAGTTACATATCACGTCTTCTCCGATATCAGCTTCGTTTCCTGGATCCCGTCTTTCCGAGAAATGCGAATCAGCCATTGGCCTTTTCTGATAATCCCAGATCCTGTAGTTCCAAGAAATGCGAATCAGCGATTGAGGAAGAGCCACGATATGTACAAGTTGCTCAGATACGTGATGACACAGAATAATGTTTTGTCCGCCAAATATTTGCCCGCGAGCGTTTTCAAATTAAGTGAAGCATGCAAGCACTGCGTTTAAGACATAATCAAGGTTGTTGCAGTATTTATGCGAAAAATTTTACAATTACAGGAATTGCACACAAAATTTACACACCTTAGAAGCATTGCACTCAATTTCTCAGCCAGATTAAATTTGCCTCGACCTCCAACATTTTAAACGTAAGCCTTGTAGCTTCACAGAAATATGTTGATGTTTTTAATAGTTTTGCGTGGGTAGTGAAACCAAAAAGAGTTAGCCTCAAGCCAAGAGGGAACTTTTAGTGGGGTGGCCCACAAAATCTAAAGTACACACGAATGGCAAACAGGAAAAAAATTTCAAATTTGGTGGAGATAAATTTTCAATTCACAATATACGTGATGCAACTCTAGATCTGTAGGTGTGGTTTGCTTTGGTATGTTGTCTATGGGTTAAAAACTGCCAAGAATCTACAGCTTACACGTATCCGGGCTATTACAACAATTGGAATCTCAACATGTAACAGTTCTTCCCTTTCGGATATTCACGTACGGTAAACGTTTTCTCGATCTATATCTGCAGTGGAGTAGCCTGAGGAAATCAGCGATCCTAATTTCACCATATCATCTTCGTTTTAAATTTTAAAAAGAGAAATTAAAAACTTGAATACATTTTTATATTTTGTATTTAAGCAGCTACTATCAATCCTTTGTGTGATAGAGGGTGGAAATGTTTTCTTTACTGTTTTAACTTAAATTTAGTTGAAACCAACGCCTACCTCAGCATCAGTGCACGTTGCGTTTATTGTCCTCTTTGCAATTTTCATTTCTTCTCACCTTAGATACGACACGGCTGCGGAATAGATTAACACTAAAAAGTAGGTAGCAATTTCAATCAGTGTATAGTCAAATGAGGTGTGAGATAAAGCAATGAAATGATTCTACACTTTCGCATGAGGTCAAAAACGTTTCAGTCATTTTATCTTCTGTAAAAGGGCTTCAAGTTGCTTTTTCTGAAATTTTAATTTTATCCACCCCATCTAGGAAATGACTACGAAAGAGCTAAACTTAAAAAGAGCTATTGGTTTAAAACAGTTTAGAATTAAATGCGGAGCAAGAAAATGCATTGATTTCCGAGGCTTGCATTTCCGTCTGGACTGTAACGTTTCATGTCAACATCTTCCCAGCTACGAAAAAGGCTACTCGGTAGTGTTCTGGAAATCTTTACACAACAATTCCTCAGAGGAGAGTTGACTCAGCCATGTATCATAGACATTATGAGCTCAGTTGTTAATTGTCTGCGTAAATTATGTTAAGCTCCAGATCTGTGCTTTTTACCCACCTTTACAACTGGTATACACAAAAATTCGACTGTAAGGGATCCTCGCCAAACGTCGACCATTACGAAACTTCAAGTTGACTTTTCTTATTCGCTTGTAATCTCACTCCGTTATTAAAATCTGGTGTGTTTTTACAGGGCAGCACCTTTCATCATGAGTTAGCCCATAGGGCTTTCTACAGTTGCGTCTTTCGGGAAACAGTATGGCTTTTAAACTGGGTAATTGAGCATGAAGTAGGTTCTTGTTTGCTCTCATAATAAAACTCCGTCTTTCACAACTGTTTTGGTAAATTTACTTCTATTGATTTCACCCTCGATTTATTGGGATCTGTTCTGCAAACTGCTCATATGTATCTACCTGTATTTTAAGAACAGTAAAACACGACTTTGAAACTGACTCGTTTATAGTTCCTTAAGTACAGAACGAGTTAGTGGTGAGTTAAAAATTTTTCAATGGTTGAAAACCCTCTCTTTACTGCAGAATTATTTTACCTGCATATTTCGAAATGGGCACTATAATGAATAACCTTTAAAACTTAAGTCACAAATATCTCTAGGATTTAGTTTGAGTCCGGAAAACTAGGTCTGCCTTTTTTTGTAAAGCATTGCAAACCTTTTACAAGCTATGCAAATATCTCGACTTATGATATCAGTTTCGAAGCTGGGAAATATCAAATTTTCAATCATATTGAAAAAGCTTCTTTGATTTCCATCACTTTCGAGCCTGAAATACATTTAGGCTAAATTTTTTGGAAGATAAAAAATCTTCCTAAAAATTGGCCTTACACGGTGCTAAAAAATTCAATTTTTAACATTCCCAATGATAACATCAAGTTTGATTTTTCTATACTTTTTGGGACATGAAATTAATTCAGCTTAATTTTTATTAGGGATACTTTTTTTGAGGTGGAACAAGTTTTATTTTTTTATTAGTCTACGTGATGTTTTTACGCATCCGGGCAGCAAACCCGAGTGTGACTAAAATAATCTATACCACTGGTCACGTACGGAAACCAAGCGACAATCTATTTTCTCTTACTATTGTTCCACATCAGATATCCCGAATTTATGCTTAACGTGATCCACCGTTCGTTTGGCAGGTGCGTCATGTACGTGCCACGAACGAAAACAAACAGGATGCTTTAGTCGCTGCCAAATGTGAAAGTCATGTTTCACGGGCAATATTATCTCTAAAAAAAACGCGAGTGAAAAATAGCGGCGCTTTCATCCAAAACAGAGAACACTGTTGTTTTTTAAGTATATCTATCTTGAGAAACGGATATTTTTTTGCTGCTCCTGCAAAAATTTAAGAGAGAATGAAATTGCGCCTCGTTTGTTGTTGATGTGAAACCATAGGAACCTTGCAAGGATTACGTGACTGAATGCTCCTCAAAGTAATTATACATCGTTAAATAATTTGTAATGTTGTTTATTTCTGGATACAATGCGGTAGAAAAAAGATGTGAAAGTAGAATATATTATTAACTTAGGGTGAAATAAATAATTTGTCTAATGGAGTGGTATCACGACTGAAAATTGTCGATGTAAATGTGATGAAATTTAAACACATTTTCTTGGGATTATGGTAATGTAAGGAAAATCCAGCAACTATTTTGCATGCAGTTTGCTGAATGTCTGAAAGAAATACTTGGAGTCACAAAGATTATTAAAAATAAACTACCGGTGCTGCTTATATGGGGTGAATAGGTCAAAACTGATTAACAGACAACACAAACGAGCACTCACATCGCACAAACCGGATGTTGCCGTCAATCACACTGTTGAGTACCGCCCGCCAATCCGTTCCAGATGCACCTAGCAGAGCCAATCAAATTTGTATGTACTCGAAAGGACGGCTTATCTACCAATGAGAAACCTGTCTGGGAAAACCCTTTTTTGGTCACGTCTTGAACGCGCTAAAACGAGCGAGCGACAGCAAAATTGGTTCAATTTGTGATGATAAACCACTTGATCAGGCGCAGAACTTCGCTGAAGAAAATTGAACGCCAAAGCTTCGACTCTGTCAAACCTTGAGGAACAGAAATTAGTTGGATATTCTTTTAAAGGTAACACTTCAGTTTCACAAAGACATGCTCACTTTTTTGTAGCAGTTGCAGTTGTAGTCGACGATCGTGTAGCTAATGAAGTATTTTCAGTGTCAGTTTGTTTTGACGTGCGTTAGGTCGGGATATGCTGGTGCATAGAAGAGTGTAGAACTAAGAACGGATATCGCCTTCGCAAACTGCTCACGATTAACCCAAATATCATGTTGATTAGTCGCGACATCCGTAACACAATGTAATCACAATGTTAACAGGTGTGAGAACATTTCAGTGACAGAAGTCCTGTTTTCTACTAATCCAGACGTTAAGTCGGTTGAAAATGAAATTAAGCTTTTAGCCAGACAACTTGCCCTTCCTCAGAATTTTCGATTCAAACATCGCAGTGATATCCCCCAAGTACAGCTTTAAATCGGCATGAGACTTTGGAAAGCGAAATATTTTAAGCGTGACTGCATTATCAAAAAAAACTTGTGTCAACTTTGTGTAAAACTTATTGAAATTGGAAAAATTATCCATGATACAAGTCACATTTTTCCCCCTAGATCCCCGATACACACTTAAGGTGATAAAAAGGTTTCTGTAGCTGTTTATGTCTAATCGAATATATTCGAATTCATTGAAATTCACAATTACGTCATGCATAACAACTTTATTGACATATTGTCATAATTTGCTCAGTGATCTATTTATAAACTTTGTTCAATTTTTCTGTATCATCTGAATTTAGCATGAATCTGTCCCGGTTGCTGTATCATTGTTTTACTCTGCACTAAACCTTTAAATAGAAAACCTAGAAATATCTGTGAAATGACATTTAAATCTTCGTCAGACATCAAAATGTAACATTCGTCCATCGTGTGACATTTCCTATTGTTCTCACTCAGACACCCATAACAAAACCGAGCAGTGGGGCTGAATTTTTAATAAAATGCACAACAAAATTTGTATTTATTCATAGTCTAGGTAGCATACTTTAATATGCCGTCTGCTCCTCGATAAATGTAAGAGCGTTCTTCAATGCTACGAATCTCTCGCAACCCTTAAGGAAAACATTTTGAAAAATTACAACGTTTGCAAATTTGTTTGCGGGTAGATTTGAGATCAGATGTTTCAGCTTTTTAAATGCTACGATCGTCTTCAGACATTTCGTCGTGTGAAATCATCGAGCAACGTCGTAAACGTTTGAGGTCTTTGCAAAGCTTGTGAAAGAGGCTCCTTCCAAACGAGGAGATCGAGAAGCTTCAAGCATTTTCGTCCACATTGGGAAACCGATACAGCTACAACTCTGCAGCAGATGCTAGCGTCGTATTTTTAATTTTTCGATTGCATTGTATTAAGAAGAGTGTTTATAGCTTGTGGTGCAATTTGTTTGCCAAAGGCTAGATGGAGGTGGGTGAGAAATCGTTCTTTATTCTTTGAATCAATTAGGTACACATTGTAGGCATGCTACCTGCAATTTTTATCATAAAAATATTCTCGGTGAAATTTAACAAGTCCGGTGGTGCGCGTGTTTCAACGATGGCGTCAGTTTCAGCGTGTTGACGAATTTACACGAGTAATTGCAACCTCAAGGCGAAAAAATACACTAGGTTAGCTAATTGAGAAACTGTTCCCAAGATGAGTTGCCCGATAAACCCTTTTTTCTTCGGAGATAGGTCTCGCTTCCTTGATTGGGTTTGAGTAAAAGCTGTATGAGATCGTACTTCAACACTATTTAAGATTTCCCAAGATATCTTGAACACAGTCATAGGAATACTAGATGAACCCTTAAAAGTTTTTGTGCAGGAAATCTCAGACGAAATTTACAAAGTCATACAACACCCTTTTCCACGGATAGAAATATGGAGATATTATCGTTATTGTGTATTAAAAGTGCCGTATCCCATAACAAAACTCGAACTCCGCAATCTCCGTGATGATCCGGTAACTATAGTTTTATAGTTCTAGCCATCAATTTTACAGTTGTGTTCACGATGGTTCTAATTTCCCTCAAGTCTAAACCATAAAAGGGATGCCCTCATCGGTGGTTAAAAGATCGATGGCTATATATTAAATGATGCATTTCTGTCAAAACATTAAGTTGTACGTGACCCCATTCGGTTTTCTCGAACAGTGTTTTATTTAGTGATCAAAATCTTGAAACGTTTCCAAACACATCCTACGAACTTTGTCTTTTCACTCGGATCTCGTTATCGAAGTTTATCTGATACAAAACCCAAAAGAAAACTATTTTTAAGAGGTGAGGTAAATTTTAAGAAAGCTATTTCGCGGGGACTTTGATCTATCCTGGGATATTCTAAACAATAGTGAACAACAAAGACCTGATCCGTTAAATAATATTGGTTTGAAAGCTCTGGAACTAATATTTTTTGTGAAATGTCTAATCATGGCATACTTTTTTAGTCTAAATTTAATGTATGACTAGAAATAACCGAAGGAAAAACGCATGGATTGTGTGACGAGAAAACTGGCCTTCTTGCAAGTGATTGCATATCGTATAGTTGGTCGCTTTGAAGTGTTTAAGCGTCTTGGAGATTATAATGATTTCGTCTGTTTCATTTTCAAACACATACCTTAAGAATTTTCTCACTGATTCATTAGTTCAAAGCTGCAACAAAGACCCACACACGTCATATTAAACTGCTGCATTTTAGGGAGTATTCTGCACTCATAACTTATGTAGGTGTTTTTACTCACTTACACTTTATGTAATGTCGTTAATACTTCTTTGTAACTATTAAGATATATTCTGGTAAAGTACAGCTAAAGGGTCGTAATCTATCAATTTCAAACTTAAAACCTGTCTTCCATAAGTGAGCCGTATGAATTTTTTTGGCCAAATTATCTACCAATTTCAAACTTAAAGCCTATCTTCGAAAAGTGACGCGTACGATTTTTTTTAAATGCGAGTTTTTGTGGCTAAATTATCTGTTACTTAGCAACTCTTGACAATAAAAACAATAATGATACTGATGCCGGGTAATAATGATATTGATCATGATTGTAATTATACATAATAATGATAGTAATAACAAGGATAGCAGGCTAATAATAATTTTTAAAAGACCTTCCAAAAATCATCATCGTAAAGGGACATTTGGAAGGAGGGGTAAAGCCAATCTGAGAATAACTGCTCAAGTTTTAAGCCAAAAAAAAAAAAAATTGAAATGAGTAAAAAGCAATATTGATTTGCACTAAATTAAGTCCTGAGCTGCCCAGTTGTTACAAAGTTTCAACGTGGTTCTTCTTCGATTCCAGACATTTTCAAACCGTGAACTAATTGAAGCATCCAAAATGATGAATTTCGTTGATGAAGTCCCAGGATGGGGTTCCCCGTACTGCGTCGAGGGCCTCCCATTCCTGGATGGTACCCAAGTTGTCCCCGAAATGACTGCCCAGGACCTGGATGGGTACCCACCCATGCAGTTAGATGGAGAAGAAAGCAAGAGTAGAAGTGACGGTGTTACCTCGTGGAAGAGCTGTTCCAGCCTTACGGATCATGAGTCTGGTTACTCGTCGGATGAGAGTGCGTCTCCAAGGATGGACGAGGCTCTGCCTTCTCCAGCAAATAACTGCCTGGATTTAGACCAGAATACAACTCCTGGGTTAATGGAGTGTTTGGGACCAACAGGTAAGTAAATGAAAAAAATTGATACATTAAGTGGTAGCAATGGTGCATTTAAGGGTTGGTTCCTTATGCACAATTTCCTGGTAGAATTGGAATTGGAATATTGGTTTTTGTGAAATGGCAAACTCGTGAAAGGTCACCTTCAGCAAGTTACGGTGCTGTCGTGGATGTCAGCTGTGTTACGGTTGCATTCATAAGGTAGCTCTTCATACGCTGTTTCCTGGTCGATTCGGAATCGGTGTGTTGGTTTTTTTGGTGGGAAATTTGACGTTATTTTATGTTCACTTACAGTAAATTAGTGTGCAGTCCAGTTATCAGTGTCATCCGCTGTTCTTCACCCAGGTCCATACATCTCTTTCTAAATCCGCCTAACCTAATTCCAGGCTGTAATTCTTACAGAAATTAAAAAATTCCAAGTTCCAAAAGTGAGTCTCCTCTTGCAACACAATGTGAACAGGAGATAGATTAGATTAATTTTGGTTAATTTTGTACCCGTTGCTAGTATTCCCAATCCACAGATGGACTCAGACCATGGCCACAATAGATTGAAGACTTTTGCGTCGATTGCGCTGCTTATCATACACCTATTGAAGCCAGAAGGAAATACCTTTGGACAATTGTTGAAGCAATGTCCCTTTCATTTCATAACCACTTCTCACTTCGAAATTCTCTTACGTGTATTTGAAATTGGTTGCATTTGGAATTTGGATTTTTGTCCGTCTGTTCTCCACAAGTTTCCCTTAGTACTCTGCTTCGCTTCGTTTTTTACATGTAAAAATAATAAACGTTGCAAACTGAATAGATCGCTCAATAGCGTTTGTGAATTTTTTTGCAACTGTGTTAGAAGACTTGCATCGAATGCAGGTGTCTCGATCAGTGCATATATTTATCTTTATTCTGTTCGGAATTGAATTCATTTGTTTTGATGTTTGCATCCAAAGTTTACACTTTACTGAGTACCCAATATTGTTGGAGTAATTCACTGGCTATGTTTAAAATACTAACCAAGTTAACGCGTCATAGACACTCATGGACGAAAACACCCTTTGTCGGCTCACGTTTTGAAGCAATGTGATTGGCTGACTAGATTGTACCCATAATTCAAGCCCATTGTTTGTCGCGAAAGCGTTTGTGGAATGTTCTTCCTGTTTACAACGGCGAACTCGAAATCCGCAGGCTTTCAAGACAAGCGGGAAATATCCTGAAAAAGAGCTTTATTATGATGCCCTGAATTCGTACCTCCCCATCACCTAATAACAAGATGTTTTGTCGTTCGACGGAGATGTGTATTTTCGTAGATTCTTTGCATTTAGTCCTTGTCTTGGGCTCCAACGGTCTAAGACTTCCGGTCGAAGTAGTCGTCTCCAGACAGCAACGTACGTTGTTTGGTCTTGTGAATTTGAATTATAGTTTGGGCGATCGAAAAAGAATTGCAAGGTAAGCCGTTTCCTTTGCTGCCTGATACCTGTTTTGAAATTCCGCTTAAGATTCCCTTTTCGAGAAAGTCAAATTCGTCATCTACATCTCGCCTCTGTCGAAGCCGGGTTCAACAGCTCTTCGTTTCACTTTTAAGGTTCTAGCCGGGAACATAGATCGCTCTATTTTGTGATCTGATATGTGTTGGTCCTACTTTAAAAGCTATTTTTTCCTACAGGTAAGATCTTTTCACGCCTTTAAAATGCTTTTTTAAGAAAGTAGTGTGTAAGATTATGGAGTAACGAGGCTTTTCCAATGTAATCACGCGACATCCAATGTGCCTCGGCTTGGTGCCCTTTCAACAGAATTTTAGCATCAACAGAAACGTTACGAGAAATTACTTCAGAAATATTCAGTAAAACCCGATTCGACAACTTGGCCGCAAACACGGAAAATTATTTCTTTGGGTTTTGTTCGGTTTCACATGATATTTCAGTTAAGGCGTTCTATATGCAAACGTACGTGACACGAGTCATTGGAGCGGCGGTATAGCATGAAATAAATCTTTCAGTTCTTTTTTCGTGAATAAAACCTCTATGAATTGTCACCATGATCAAGATAGTAACGTTTCCATGCAGAAAAATCATGGGAACCTTAAACATTTTAGCGTAGATCGGGTTGAGACGATAGCAAAGCATTTTAGGTTTAATGTTTTTTAATTAACGCTGGTTTAACAAAACAAAATTAAACAAAAGTAGCTTAGCGAAAGCTTTCGTGTGCGGACATGTGTACAAGACTTTATTATGCGCGGCTAAAATTTAATATCTGTTTCATTTTGCTGGAATAGAAAGCCACCCTAATCTTGGAAAAGCGGGCACATGTCATATCATCCTCAAGAAGAGGCTTTTGAGCCCTAACTATGTGGAGATTAAGCGTTTC